CAAGGTTCTCAACTCGCTCTCACGCTCGTCACCGCCGTTACCGCCTTCGTCGCTCCCGTTGCTAGCTTCGTCATCGTGCCTCGCCTCGCTTCGTCCGCTACTCTACCAAACTTGGTAGTTCCCTTTTCGATCCCAGGGATCGCGTTAAGGAGTTGGGTCTATCGCCGTCTCCGCAGTCTTCGTCACTCGCAATGCGCTCACCTTGAGCACGCCATCGTTCTCACCAACTACATCAAACGTAGTTCCGGCAGGCTCTTGGTAAAGTACAGCCGCCTCACCAACTTGGAAGTCATCTACCGTGAGGATCGCCTGGACACTCTTCACTACACGTACGAGCCCGCCTTCCAACACTTATGCTTTGCTCGCGATGGACCCGTACCGGCCGTCATCTGGGACCCATCGCAGTTATCGGTCATCATCAGCTCGCATCGCTTACCATCACCAGCACCCTCGCCTTTCCGCACCCCAAAGGCTATCACCTTCAACTTCGAACCCGCCGCTTTGCCTACACCCGCTACGCATCCCGAAGACTTCCCACTTGAGTTTTAATCATTCCGTTTGTCGACGCCGCCAACTATCCAGCGGATCTTCCACAGGGTGGTTTTGATATTGACGCAGACGATGCAGACGACTATTACCTCCCACGCACCCTGGACAACGACCTGCTAATCTGGAAGGAGACCAACCCGGATACCGGAGTGGTCACCTGGTGGGCGCGTACGAACGTCAGGTTGGCCCCCGTGCCCTTGTCTGCGGACGCCCGCGCCAATGCGGTCATCGTTGCCAAGGACCGGCAGATCCGCGACTTGCAGCAGACGGTCGTCAACCAACAGGCCCAGCTTAACGCCCCGCCCCAGCCAATTGTCATCCAACAAGCGCTAGGTCCGCAGTGTTCGCACATCCACGTCCACGCCCCGCGCACGTTCTCCGGTGTCTCCAACAACAAGGGCGTCTATGACCCCACACCACACGACTTCGTCCGGAACGTGCAGAACTACCTCGTCGCTGAGGAAGAGGCCACCGGTAACCCGCTCACTGACCACAACAAGATCGTGCTGGTCTCCATGCTCCTCGACCAGTCCGCAGCCATGTGGTACGAGCAGATCATGGCCGACTACGCGGAGTATCGGCAAAGGGCGGGAGTTGAGGTTGCAGTGAAAGTTGAAAGTTGTGGAAAATGTCAGCTCCTACATGTTGAAAAATCCACAGCTTCTATAACTTGCATGTCAAGCTGCAAGTCATGCAAGTGAAAGTTTGGAAAACTCAGTTACATGTTTACTTGTAAGAACTTTCCCACAGTTTCTTAAAATTCAAATGCGAGTCGTGTGTATGCGTAATGTTCAGGGACAGTGGTAGAAAGTATACTGTGGTGCAATACCTACTGTTTGGGTAGCTTAGAGCAAGACGAATCCGCTGGGCTTTTTGTGTAAATGCCTATTAGTGTTTTAGGTAATGCAAAACCCTAACCTCTAACCCTAACCCTAAACCCTAACTCTAACCTCTAACCCTAAAACCCTAACCCTAACCCTAACCTTCCTAGTATGGGTGATAGCGAGATCTTACATAAGTTCAACAGCCTGCAATGACCCCACACGGCTAGGCTAAGCGCGCTTAGCCTAGCCCCTTAGGGGTCATGCAGGCCTTATAGCTACAAGTACCAGTATACAATATGTGTATAGAGGTTTGGTACATTATTATACCATTTTTATTCCATTGACTGGACTTCCTTACTGGCTATACAAATATCTTTATGAATTTAGAGAGCTTTGCTTGGAAGGGCATATGTACCAATTGGATGATATTTCTTTTGTGGTCTAATAATAGATGAGTTGGTAAAGTGCTAGTGAAAGTTTACATGAGGTTGTGGGTTCTATTCCCTGTTGTGACACTTTTTGCAAAACTTTCACCTATTTTAGCTTTGTCAATAACACTTTCTAGGCCTCGTTATTGATAACAATGAGCTTTTAAACACTTCTACATTATTTACCACTGGAGTAAAACTGTATAGAGTAGCTATTGGGTGTATATAAGGCAGTCACAAAGAGGCCATATGCAAGTCATGGTGCACTGGATTTTCACACTTGCAGTGTGCACGAGTTTCCACAAACTTTCATGACTATCAGTGTGACTTCTATAGAGGGCGGGTCAAGCCCAGCAGCAGGGACATCCGGTACCGCCTTATACCGGCCCGCTTCTCGACCTCGACACGTTCTCGCAGGCCTTCCTCCAGCAGTTTGAGGACGTCGACATCCAGAAGACGGCCATTGCCAAGATCCAGTCCATGCAACAAGGCGCGCAGTCTGCGGAGGTGCACACGCGTCAGTTCAAGGACTGGGCTGGCCATACGGGTTTCAATGACACCGCGCTCATCGAGCTCTACAAGAGGAGCTTGAAGCCTGCCATCTGCGACAAGGTCAACGGCCAGGGCAAGCATCGCCCGGACACGCTACAGGGCTGGTATGAGGATGCCGTGCTGTTTGACAGGCAATGGCGCGAAGATCATCCAGACCAGCCCTTGTCACAGTCCACCACAGGCAACTCGTCCTCGCGCAACCAATCGACTGGTGCGAACAACAACACCGGCCGGTCCACGGGTGCTTGGCAGCAACAGCAGCCATCGCGCAACGCCAACCAGGGGCAGCCATGTAATGGCAACTGGCGCCCTTGGGGCGCTCCAGCCCAGCAGTTGCGCGCACCGGCTCCTGCGGCCAACACGGGCGTGGTCCCGATGGACATTGACGCGGCCAACGCAGCAATGGCGTGCTACCGCTGTGGTGAGAACCACCTGGCGCGCAACTGTACTACGCCGACGGAGACTATTCGGCAGAAGTACGGCCGGGATCGCATGATCCCCTTCCCCGCTGGCTATCGGGCACGTGCCACGACCTTCGCCAACGTGGACGACTTCGCCGCCTCGCTATCTCCGGCTGATCAAGCCAAGTTG